AAAAAAATTAACTCAAAATGGATTAAAGACATAGTATAAGACTTAAAACTGTAAAACTCCTAGAAGAAACAACAGGAGGAAAACTTTGTGACTTTGGACTTGGCAATGATTTCTTGGATATGACACCAAAATCACAGGTAACAAAAGCAAAAATAAATAAGTGAGACTACATCAAACTTAAAAATTTTTGTGCATCAAGGAACATGATCAACAGCATGAAAAGGAAACCTACAGAATGGGAGAAAATATTTGTAAATCATGTATTCGATAAGGGGTTAATATACAGAATACATAAAGAACTCCTGCAACTCAATATTTCTCCAAAGATGATATACAAATGGCCAACATGCATATTAAAGCATGTTCAACATCACTAGTTATTAAACAAATGCAAATCAAAACTATGATGAGGTATCACCTCACACTCATTAGGATGGCCATTAAAACAGAACAAAACAAAACAGAAAATAAGTGTTGGCAAGAATGTGGAGAAATCAGAACCCTGTGCACTGCTGGCAGGGGTGTAAAATGGTGCAAGTGCTATGGAAAACAGAATGGAGGTTCCTCAAAAAATAAACAATAGAATAACCTTATGATCCAGCAAACCACTTCTGCGTATGTGTGCAAATGAAAGCAGGATCTCAAAGAGATATTCACACATCTATGTTCATAGCAGCCCTATTCACAACAGCCAAGAGGTAGAAGCAACCCAAGTGTCCACTGACAGATGAATGAATAAACAAAATGTGGTATACGATGGAATATTATTCAGCCTTAAAAAGGAAGAAAATCCTATCACATGCTATAACATGGATGAACCTTGAGAACATTTTGCTAAGTGAAATAAGCCAGTCGCAAAAATACCAATACTGTGCTATTCTACTTATATGAGATATCAAAAGAAGTCAAATTCACAGAAATATAAAGTAGAATGGTGGTTACCAGGGGCTGGGGAAGCAGAGAAAAGGAAATTGTTGTTTAATGAGTATAGTTTCAGATTTGCAAGATGAAAAAGTTCTGGAGATCTGTTTCACAACAATGTGAATATACTAAACACTACTGAACTGTACACTTAATAACGATTAAGATGGTAAATTTTATGTTGTATGTTTTTCAACACGCACAAAAATAAAGGAAGAACATGTGTTCCGCAGTCAGACAAACTAGGGTAGAATATCATATATATTAAATAATATGTGACCTTGAACAAGTTACTTATCATCTCTAAGCTTAAGTTTCCTGATCTTTAAAATGAGGAAACTACTTCTTTAATCAAGTTGGTTGTATGGCATAAAAATAGGTGCACAGTAAATATTAGTTCCTGCCCTTCTCTTTTCCAAATTTCCTTCAAAGCTTATGCCATTGTTTTAAATATCTTCAGTGGTGAGAAATCTTAATCATTGATTATGGATTGAAAAACATTCTCAACTAAAAGTGACTGTGCAAGCTAAGTTTAGTGAATGAGTGATTAAGACAGATTTTAGTTAAAAGATGTTTTTCAGAAGGAACCCATGAGTCTGAGCATATCTTGATCATATCACCATTAGCTTACTTTTTAGAGTAATTCTCACAGAAGTTCTTAACATTTTTCAAGTTTTTATAGGTTAAAATGATTGGTTGACGTGATTGATTAATTCTGCCTACACTGCATACCTCTAACACACATGTAACTTGAGAATATTAAAATTGTCCACTGCAGACTTTGATGACTTGATTTTGAATTATATAAGAAACGTGTTTTATTAGATATCACAATTTTCTTCAAAAAACATGATTTTGTCCAATTCCCTAGAAAGAGTAGAATAAACTGCATGTACGAAAAAACAATCCCATTGATACATAGTCATTCTTTACAATATCTTTATAATGTGCTCAGGATAATATATTTAATGTCCATCTAATTTTCTCCTGTCACAAGTCAATTGCATACACTCTTGTCCTGTAGTCAGTTAAAAAGAGAACTAGCACATCTATAATTACAAAGTCCTTGACATCTAAAGATAGTTATTAAATCACCCTTCATCTTTGCCTTCTCCAAGTTAAATAACCTAAATTCCTTTGCTTTTTCTTAATGTGTTCAATATTTTTGAAAGCTCAAATTCTTACAGACAATAGTAGGAAAATAACTATTACATACTTTACAATGATAATTAAGAAAAATAGAGAGTTAAATTACAGTGACATAAAAAGAACAATGTGACACGTATAATACAATTACGATTAATAAATGAAGACTCAAAAACTATCATTCATACGTGAATTATACACCTTGGTTCTACTTCTAGCATTCTACAGCACTTAATCCTTACCAGGGGACTTTCCTTGTAAGTTGCTTCTTCGCTCTCTGTATCTGGTGGTATAATACAATTACGATTAATAAATGAAGACTCAAAAACTATCATTCATACGTGAATTATACACCTTGGTTCTACTTCTAGCATTCTATAGCACTTAATCCTTACCAGGGGACTTTCCTTGTAAGTTGCTTCTTCGCTCTCTGTATCTGGTTGAAGTGGATAAACTTGTGTCTATACTAGGTTTGCTAGCAGGCCCCATTTCTGAAATGAGGAATCCCATCTGTTCTGAAGGCAAGATATTCTCAGGTGGACTGGTCTGGCATTTTATATTGGCATCCACCTAAAATATTAAACCCACTCATTATTCTGAGATTTCCCCCAAATATTGACTGAAAGTTAAGATACTTTATCAGAGTTCTATTATAGGAACATGATCCAACAAACATGCTTTTAAGGCTTTTCCTAATGAATGATACTACCTTTGATTTTTGTTGAGTTGTCTCAATATTTAGTAGCAAGATGTACATTTCCCCATATACAAACCACTGAAATGTACACAGAGCTAAAACATATACTAATGATCAGAGGAAGATTTACCATGAGGCTTGTTGATTTTCTTTAACTTACAAAAGTAAGATATTTTTAACTACGAATGGTTAAGACGACTATCTTTTCCCATCTAGCATACGTTCCATACGACTTCCCTTCCTGTTGGTGATACTGGAATGACCATAGGCATAATCCTGTTGGATGGTGCAGTGGGGCATGGACACTTTATTCTACTTACTTTTATTCTTTGTCTGTAAACTGGCCCTCAAAATCGTATAAGTTATAAAATCTGTATCTTCACTGTTTATAAGATATGATTTTCATTCTTGGAGTTCCTAAATTTTCTTTGGAATGTTAAATCCCTTTGTTAAGGTGACCAACATCTGAAATACTCACTTTATGAATTTATTTTAAAATAAAACTATATAATGAAATAAAGCTAAAAGTTAAAAACATAGCTTTCAAGAACCATGATATTCAAATATATTTATTAAGGAAAAAACTGTATATGTGAATGCAATTTGAAGACATGAAATCCAATATTCCAGAAGTGACTATGAAAGAACAAAGACAAATTCTGTGTTCTTTCCACAAGCATATTTAAAACATAATGGGCCTATTTTTGTCGACTGAACTTACAATATTATCTTAACACATACTGAGTCTCAATAGTCAGGCAATGAGCACAATAAGTTGATAGAAACCTTAAGACATTTGAATCTAAAACTAGAGCTAAACAAAGCTGCAAAAAACAAAAACCGACCAGAAGTTATCTTGGGAATCTTTAAAAATAAAGAGATTTTCAATCCCGTTAAAGAAAAAAATCCAAAATGAAAAAAAAATATATTTATATATCAGGCTAAGATTTTTTAAAAGTAAGAAAAGTACTTAAGTTAATTTACAAAAAGTGATTTTAATCTGTATGTACTTCTGATGAATTATTCTTACTAATTATTTAGAATCAAAGTTTATTTGGGGGTCATAAACTAGCAGCAATAAAGGAATTAGCCTCTACCTTCAGAATATGTCTTTTGAACTAGAATCAGATTTCTACTTTACAAATGTAGAGATTAGTAAGGAAATTTGAACACAGTATGCTCACAAGTTAGAGTTCAATGATGCTGTACGAAAGTAAGAAAAGACCTCCAACCATCTCCTTATGTCCATGCTACAAATGGCTAGGCAAATCCTCATATTCTCTGTCAAATAAGCCATCCCTTCTGGGTAGTGGAATTATATTGGTCAGGCATACCTAGTCCACCCAAATTAAGACAGGAAGCAAAACTCAAGGGATGCTTCTAACAAGAAATAAGTCTTATATCACAATGCTCTATCAGACTGCATTATCTCTAGAGGCTGACCTCAGACCATAACATAGTGAGAGGATGCCTGGGGGTTAAGGCAACTTCCTTCTCAATCTTCTTCTGTAGAACCACTGGGACATGATCCTTCTGGAAAGCATAATGAACTGATATTAATCCCCAAATAAAATATGGACAAACTCTCTGCTAGAATGGCCTTTAGCAAGAAGCACAAGGTTCTTTGAGTTTTCACTTGATCTTAGCCAAAAGGCCAAGAAGCGATTACTTTGAGTTTTCTTAGGATTTTTTCTTTGACCCCTTACCTGGTGTGTGCTGAACGGTAGCCCTTCCTGCACAAATACTACTGAAGAGGAAGATGGATTATGACTTAGCTGCTCCTTCAGTTTGACATGAGCTTGCTGGATGGCTGCAGATTCCTGCACTGTGCTATTTTCAACAGCCTGGGCTGTGTGGATAGTATAGATGTACTCAGGTGACTGCGGTAGAGGGTAGGTAATTGCTTGTTCTGTTCCAACCACAAAAGACGTAATATCTGAGCCTACAGGAGTAAGTGGCTCCAGCTGGCTAGCCTGACTTGCAGATGCTGGATCGCTGTTGTTTGAATTAGCTAGGATATGTTGGCCTCTGTTAGACTGAGATGTTGGGCACTGATTCTCAACAGGCTCCACCTTTACCATCTCCAATTTAGGGGAGGAATGCAACTCATCTACTATCTGAAAGACAGCCTCTAGGTTTACTTCTGTCTTTTTATTTTCATCAGTAGCACTGCAAGGCCAATTAGGAGGCAGAAATTCAACTGGATAGGAGGATTGCATTGGAGGATTCTGGGAAAAGAGAAAATAGGACTGTTTGGATAGAAAACCAAATATGAGATTAAGGAGGAAAGCAACAACATTTAGGCTGATGAATGTTAAACATAAATAGATAAGCTTAAAGCTCACTAAGAAAACCTGAATGCTAATCTGCTTTTCAGCAATGGTAGTTTCAAATCTACTGTTAACATTTACTTCGCATCTACTATATATCAACCACTATGCTAAGTTTAATACTAAAATGGAACAATAATTCTCAGGGTTAAAGGATACAAAATTAAAAAGCTATAGTACCCAAATATCTATTTGCTGATAAAATGTCTATATACCAAATTCTTCCACAAAGGTTGACAGACAAAAACATCACTTATATCTATCATATACTGTTTTAGGAATGCAGTAAGGAAATTGCAAATACAGGATGCTCACAAGTCCATCAATCCTTCTACAGATTCAGGGGGAAGTAGTGATATTCTGTTCCAAATGATCTGGGAAAAAATGGATGGAAGATCGAATGTCCTTTGGTTCCTAAGACTGTTTATTTTTATTTATTTATTTTTTATTATATTTTATTTTATTTTATTTTTTTAAAAGATGACCGGTAAGGGGATCTTAACCCTTGACTTGCTGTTGTCAGCACCATGCTCTCCCAGTGAGCTAACTGGCCATCCCTATATGGGATCCGAACCCGTGGCCTTGGTGTTATCAGCACTGCACTCTCCCGAGTGAGCCACGAGCTGGCCCCCCTAAGACTGTTTATTTTTAATAAGAAAGCAGTAGACTAAAATACCTTTCACTTTTGGACCTATATCTGTTTAAGATATATTCTCTTATATATGGTACTTTGCATAAAGTAGGTGTTCAATATTGGCCCCCCTAAGACTGTTTATTTTTAATAAGAAAGCAGTAGACTAAAATACCTTTCACTTTTGGACTTATATCTGTTTAAGATATATTCTCTTATATATGGTACTTTGCATAAAGTAGGTGTTCAATATATGTTTGGTGATAAAGACCTAAAGCCATGAACATAAAATACAGAAGAGTAATGATTAAATAAAATATGTAATGAACTAATGTTGCCAAATGCAGAGCTTTGCGTGGAGTAGGAATTCAATAAATGTTTGTTGATTATCTCTGATTATAAGCATAAAATACAAAAATTATGATTAAATAAAACATGCAGTGAGGTGATGTTGCCAAACACATTACAAAGATTGTGTTAATGATTTTAGAAGGCCACTAATACCAAATAATGTAAATATAATGCAATAAGCATTAAGTGGTATAAGCATCAAGCTACTATACTCAATAGCACCATTTACTGAGTTCTTACTATGTGCCAAGCACATGCAAAGTGCTTTATATACATTATTTCAATTAACCCTCACAAGAGCCCTATGAAATACGATAATCTCCATTTCCAAATAATAAAACCAAGGTTCAGAGAAACTTCATAATTTATCCAAAGTCACAGTGAAGCAGGTTTCAAGCCTAGGCTTGCCTAACTCAAAAGCTCTTGCTTTTATCCATTATACTATACTGACCATTCATGCACGCTTTCACTGGTACCTACAATCCAACTAAACTAACTGCATTTATGTTCAGTTTGGAATCTGAAATACTTTCCCTTTTTTCCATTTTTAGATTTTAAGTCTGCTTATCTCTACTTGTTTATAATGAACATGTGTCGTCTCTGCAACAAGTTCTTTATAAAAACGTTTTAAATGATTTATTTAAAACATGAACATAAGCACTGTCACAGTACCTCCAGTATGACTGAGGGAAGAGAATGTCTGGATCCACAAACAAGAGCATCTAACTGAGTGATAGGTATAGCCCTCCAGTAAAGATGAACGGACAAGGATATCATGCTTGATGATATCGGCCTTGAGAAATAGCCAACTAAGTCCTCTTGATCTGATTCTATACTCTTTAAACGATAGTCTGATTATAATTTGACTTGCCATGTAGATTTTCTCAAAGAAAATATATGTTCTTTTGAGTACCCTAATGCCAGTAGTAAGATATTCTCTTAAGAACTGAAGCTATCTCAGCTAGATGATTATCCAAAGCAAACAAACAATTCCAATCTTTAGCAGTTATGGCATAAAAATACAAAGCATGGAATTTAACTTCATCCTAGAAATTGCAATGCAAAACAAAGCAATTGTTTCTTAAAAAATAATAAGGCATGTGAAGTATAGTGTTTATTACATGTGGGCTAAAGGGGGCAACCACTTCAATTTCTCATTTTTGATATCACTTTTTCTTTCTCCTTAAAAAAAAAAAGTATAATTATCTATACCTTCTTGGAAGAATTTGTAATTTGGTGACTTATATACTTCTAGAGTATTTCTGGTATCGAAATACTCTACTATGAAAAAGTCTAGAACAGCACTGTTCAAAACAACTTTCAGCAATGATAGAAATGTTCTATTTCTGCACTGTACAATTTGGTGGTCACTAGCCATATGAGACTATTGAGCACTTAAAATGTGGCTACTGTGAGTGAGGAATAAGTTTTAAATTTTATTTAATTTAAATTTAAAGTTAAATAGCCACATGTGGATAGTGGCTACTATACTGGACAGTGTTGGCCTAGAAAAATCCTCAAACATCATTTATATCAACTCCCCCTGCCTTTTTTTTATTTTTAAGAATTGAGAAAACTGAGCCCATAATCTACAGCTTACCTCTGGCTACTCATTAATAAAAAATTACTCTTTGAAATACTGCAAGGTCAATAATATTGCACGCGAAGCACCAAATGTATCCACTGTTGCAAGATCTTACCTGGAAGTAGTTGCAGTGTGCGTAGGAAGAGGCAGTGGGAGTGACACAACTACTTAGAGTGTCCATGTGGGTAGAAGGAGAACAGCACTGTAGCACAGCTGGAACAAATTCAAACATAAAGAAGCCATCAACCAAAATAAACCTCTCTAGCATTCAAGGCACTCCCTCTCTCAACCTGGAAAGAACTACAAAAAACAACTTCCTTTGTTTGTCTAACAAAATTAGATTTAGTCCAATCAGGTGCTATTATTTATTGACAATGACATGGTAATAAACTAACTTTAAAAGTCTTGGGCCGGCCCGGTGGCGCACTGCTACAGTGCACCGCTTGGGAGCGCGGAGGCGCTCCTGCTGAGGGTTCGGATCCCACATACAGACCGGTTCCCGCTCACTGGCTGAGCGAGGTGCGGGTGCAGCACCGAGGGTTGAGATCCCGTTGCCGGTCCCGGTCCGGTACGGGCGCGACACTGAGGGTTGCGACCCGTTGCCGGACACGAAAAAAGACAAAAAGGAAAAAAAAAAGTCTTTAAGAGTCTTTAATTTCATTTTATTGAAAATATCAGGATATATCAGGAATTCCAAATAATTGTTTCAATCATTTTAACAGCAAGAACCATTTGGAGAGGGTAATGTTTTAAAGCGAGTAAAATAAGTATATCCTCCAAATACTCCTCTACCATTAAACAATGCATCCAGTAAGAATATATGCAAAAAATGTTTAAACCATTTACATAAGTGGTTAGGAATATGGATGCTAGAGCCAGACTACCTGCCTGCCTTTGGAGCCCCACTCTACCATTTAATAGCTGTGTAAATCTGAATACGGTTAATCTCTTTGGACCTCAGTTCCTGTGTCCTAGCAAAACAGGGATAATGATAGAAGCTACCTAATACAGTTGTTGTGAGGAAAGAATGAGCTAATATGCATAAAGTACTTACAGTAGTACTGGCAGACCATAAATAATCAATAAATGTTAGATCCTATTGTTTTAACTAAAGAAATAAATTTTCCAAACTTTGTAGTTAGAATACCATAAAAAAGATTGAACTCTTTGTACTGGGATAGTTATACTTACAGATGAGGTCTTAATAAGCTAAGTCTCCTCTTTTCTAGAGACTCTCCAGTAAGAATGAAAAGGTTATAACATTACACCTTTGGATTAAACTTCGGATATATATTGAGCACCTAATGTTCCAGGCACAGTAGTTGATGCTTTACATATATTGCTCACTTAATTCAAACAACAATTGGATGAGGTATTAACTTTACTTTACAAAATAAGTAAAGTTCAGAGATGTAATTTGTCAAAAGTCAAAAAGCTGGTCGTGACACAGCCAGTAATCAAACTGCAAAGCACATGCTCTTTAATATACTATAAAACTTCCCTAAGCTTTCCTTCTTCCTGAGATGTAACTTTTTAATTTTACTAGAACTCCACTTGCTGAATATATTTAAAGATGTCTTTATTACAAGGTGGCCACATTTTTCATATTTTGAGTGTGCTAATAAAATTACCAAATAATCTCATTCCTTAATCTTTGAAAGTAAATTAGCCCAAAAATTGTAAAAATGAATTGAGATGCTTCCCTATCCCTCCATTATTGACTATTCATTTTTAAAATGTCAGAAGTTAATGAAGGTATACTGAAAGTAGATATTTTTTCATTGTATCATGTGCAATTTAAGGCATTAAATTTTGCACACAGGAAGAAAAACCTGAATTAAAAGGTTGGGATCCCTGCACGTGCCAGCCGTGAAAAAAAAAAGGAAAGAAAGAAAAGAAAGAAAAACTTGAAATAACAGACATAATTCGAGTTCAGATACAAATATAAGGGTTGGTTTTCTGAATGACATCACTTTTTAACAATTTCAATGATTAGAAAAAGCCCTTTCCACGTTACCACATAAAATTCAAGCTGTTGTCACTTCCAGTATAGCTTAGGCAGACAGGTTCTTGTACTTGATTCTTTAGAGGTAATTTAAATATACAAATAAAGTGTTTTGGATTTGAATTTGATTTCACAAGGTATTTGAAAGCATAAATATCCTGGAAAATAAACTGAATCCAAATAGCTAAACACTGAGCAGGGTCTGCAGGATTTGCCAAAACTCTGGAAAAAAATAGGGACTTTTTTTCACTAGAGTTATAACCGCTAAGGAAAACCGAGCCCCCTATTGGCAGAAAAAGAGTTAGTAAGGAGCCGTGGGCTTTCATTCCATGAGGGCAACAAAAAAGCCATGTTCCATTACAAATAAATCAATGAAAGGTGTTAGCTTTATTTTTGTGATATTTCTATTTTCTGACTCCTTTGGTTACACATTTTGAATGGTTGTTAAAATGTACTTTAAATTTCTTGGAGAAATAAAGAAACTACAATACAACAGAATATGTTAATATATAATTGATAGCTGATTTGGTATATAAGAAAACAGCAAAATAGTTAATGTCCTTTAAAGTGTCCAGTAACAAATAGAAAGGTACCTGTGTGAAGTAAAGGAGAACTTGAATACATTATAATCCAAAAAGATTCCTCAATGGCTATTTCCTTACCAGAGCAATCCTACTTTGTACAGTCAACAAAATAGGACAAAGCAAAGTATTAGTAAGTTTATTAAATATGAAAACCTAGGTATAAAAATCCAACAATGTGCTTAGTATATGACAAATTAATCTACTGAGCATTATGAAAGCACTAACATTTATAAAACTGAGTTTATCACTATGTCCTAAGACACATTCATCTGCATAAAGATCTCTCAGAGTCTTCTTAAAGGCAGTGTTCACTTAAGGCATTAAATCGCATGTAAAAGGAAAAACTGTAAATATTGAACAGAATTCCACTCCAGATATAAATATGAATTGGTGACATTTAAAAAACATTTCTAAGTAATAAAGAATTACTAAAAATTATCACTCCCACTATAGGTGAGACAAACAAGCTCATACACTTTTTCTTATGGAGGTAATTCAAACATGTAATCAAAATGTTTTAAATTTGAATCTACTCCAGGGCCGGCCCGGTGGAGCACTGGAGAGTGCGCCTTCTGGGAGCGCGGCGGCGCTCCCGCCGAGGGTTCGGATCCCACGTGGAGACTGGTTCCCGCTCACTGGCTGAGCGCGGTGTGGGCGCAACACCGAGGGTTGCAATCCCGTTGCCGGTCCCCAGTACGGGCGCGACACCGAGGGTTGCGATCCCGTTACCGGTCAGTAAAAAAGACAAAAAGGAAAAAAAAAAATTTGAATCTACTCCAGAATAGTACATTGTCAACAGAGAGAAAATGCTCAACAGTATAAATTCACAATAGGAAAAACATCATAATAGTACATTTGATTTCGGGATAAATTACTATAGCAACTAGAACCCCAGCATCTCCTAATTCATGGTGAGGTAAAGAAAAGGTCTTCTGGGTATATACTCAAAAGAAGTGTAAGCAGGAATTTAAAACCATATTCATACACCCATGTTCACAGTAGGAATATTCACAACAGCCAAGAAGTAGAAGCAACCCAGTGTCCATCTACAGATGAATGGATAAACAAAACATGGTACATACATACAATGGAACACTAGTCAGCCTTAAAAAGGAAGAAAATTTTGACACACACTACAATGTGGATGAACCTTGAAGACATTATGCTGTGTGAAATAAGCCAGTCACAAAAGAATAAATACTGTATGATCCTTCTTATATGAGGTTCCTAGAACAGTCAAATTCATAAAGACAGAAAGTAGATTAGAGGTTACCAGGGGCTGCAAGGGAAGGGAGAGTTACAAGCTGTTGCTTAATGGGTATAGAGCTTCATTTGGGTGATGAAAACTTTTTTTTTTTTTTCCCTTTTTGTCTTTTTTTGTGTCCGGCAACGGATCGCAACCCTCAGTGTCGCGCCCGGACCGGGACCGGCAACGGGATCTCAACCCTCGGTGTTGCTCCCACACCTCGCTCAGCCAGTGAGCGGGAACCGGTCTGTATGTGGGATCCGAACCCTCGGCGGGAGCGCCACCGCACTCCCAAGCGGCGCACTGTAGCAATGCGCCACCGGGCCGGCCCTGGGTGATGAAAACTTTTGGAAATAGTGGGAAACGGTTGCACAATATTGTGAATGTAATTAGTGCCAATAAATTATACATTTAAAAATGGTGAAAACGGGCCGGCCTGTGGCTCACTCGGTAGAGTGCGGTGTTGATAACACCAAGACCACGGGTTCGGATCCTATATAGGGATGGCCGGTTTGCTCACTGGCTGAGCGTGGTGCTGACAACACCAAGCCAAGGGTTGAGATCCCCTTACCGGTCATCTTTAAAAAAAAAAAAAAAAATGGTGAAAACGGTAAATTTATATTTTAAATATATGATTTCACTTGTATACAGTATCTAGAGTAGTCAAATTCATAGAGACAGAAAGTAAAATGGTGGTTGCCAGGGGCTGGAGGAGGAGAGAGAATGGAGAGTTAGTATTTAACAGGTACAGAGTTTCAGCTGGGGAAGATGAAAGAGTTCTGGAGATAGATGGTGGTGATGGTGAAGGTACATAATGGCACAGAACAATACAATTTAAAATAGTTAAAATGGTAAGTTTTATTTATGTTTTACCACAATAAAGAAAAAGCAAATATGATCTTGCTTTTGCTTAGTTTCTTCTGGCAGGTGAAGAGAGCTTCCTGGTGCCAAGTCCCACTTTTCCTTAAGCACAAAATCAGATCTTTTCAGAGAAACTGCCAGGCTGCCTAAGTACAACAGTAACAGCACTGAAGAGCTCTTAAAGCTCCATAATCTATATTCATTTAGGTACATTATATAGGATTAGGAGCCTAAAGATCAAACCTTTAGAATTTAAGTGTACTTTAAAACAATAAGCAACTCTTGTCCAAGAGCTAATTCAGAAAAAAATTTTAAATAATGATAGGAAATATATTTTTCATAAAAAATAAAAATATCATGTAAACCTTGGGGGAAAGTATACATTCTTAAAAATTACTTTATTCAGCCATTAAAATGTTAATATCCAAGCTCATTTAAAAGACAGCTTTTAAAATATTTTATCCTTTACATGAAAATAGCGTTTTAAGTTTTGCAAAGTTTATTCACAAACATTAATTCACTTAATTCCTGACCCAAACTATTATGGCCACCTTCCAGAAAGGGAAATTGCGTGCTGAGCGATGTGAAGTAACCCACTGAAGGTCACGTCAGACGACTAACCGTAAAGCTGGGACTAGAACTAGTTCATTCCATTCAATAAATTATTTACTAAGAGCCCATTATAGCCAAGTACCACGCTAGGTGTAAGGGGATATAGAAATGAATCAGAGGCAGCCCTATTTCCCAGAGCCCCCAAACTGGACCTTCCACTCTAGCCATGGAATAATAACTAACTCTGGGGAAGAGAAATAACCAGAAAAGATTCTCTCAAAAGAAAAACAAAACAAGAAAACAAAAGACCTTCTTTATGAGAGGCGGGCAGGCAGTGGCCAAGAGCACCGCGGCCAAAAGAATGGACTCGAGTCAGATTGCCTGGGTGTGTTTCCCAGTCGGCCACTTACTAGTTGTGCCTCAACTGCCTCATCTATAAAATGAGGATAATTGCACTACCTCTTTTACAAGGTTCTGAGCATTAAAAGAATTCAGAAAAAGAGAGGGGAAAAAAAAAAAGAAAGAAAGAAAAGTACTCAGAATAGTGCCTGGTCATAGTGATTGCTATTTAAGTATTTGTTAAATAAAACATGAGAGGAAGGGCAGTTACAACTTATTAATCACTGCTTTGAGCTTCAAACTTAACTTTCAAAAAAAGGCAAAGTTGATCTTGAGTCAATTCAGCATTAGAACATCAGATAAGGGAAAATAATTCCTCAATATAGGACACTATGTACAAATATGAATGTTATGAATATTCAACAATACAATGGAGAATAAGTAAAATAAAAAGGTCTAAAATGAAGTTTTTAATAAAAGAATGCAATTAAATTACAGTAGCACACTGTAAAAATAACATCAGAGGGAAAAAAGATTGAATTCTCGGTAGGGCAAGACTAAAAAGAGTCAACTAATACTGGATCTATGATATTTTGTTTTCGAAAAAGTGGTAAGAATGAAAAAAATGTCAATGAGCTAGGCAAGAAAAACAGACACTTCAAGGGAGGAAAAACAAATATAAAAATGATTCTGATGAGTCGTTTTATGAGTCAGTCTGATGGCAGTTTTTCAGTCTCAGCATTTGACTTTACTAGAGAAATTAATAATTTGTGAAATATTGCAAAATTCAAAATTTACTGGTTATACTATTTGAAGGCCAGATACAAGTTTATTTTTAAACACAACTAATTTTTTAATTGTGTTGTTTTTTATCAAAATTTGATCCAAACTTTAATCATGCCGTTCATTTTGAAAGGACCCAAGTATGACCATTATTCTAAAATTTGTCCCTTTGTTACGACTTAGCTGAATTTGGGGGTGATTATTACCTTGCCTCTGAGAATGATATTCTGTTTAACTTTGGGAAAGTCATTTATTTGTAAGGCTGGCTCTTCATAAACATTATGAAGAGTACTCATTAAGTACTGGTTAAATTGCTTACTACTTTTTGTTTCCTTCACTTATAATTTGGAGAAATTAAGCACTTGTACAGTATTTTTATGGCACTTTCTTTTCCATAGCAGGTCTTTTGTATTTAACAATACAACTTTTATTTATATAGTACTTCAGAATATTCAAAGCAGTTTTGCCTACATTTTATCATAAACTACTCTATGTATACTGGTAAGTCATCACGAGATCATGAGACTTCTTATTCTCATAATCTCAGAAACTTCAGTCATTTCAATTATACCTATTAAAGAAGACAGACAAAAAAAAATTCGGATAACATAAGATTGTATTTTATATGTGCTGTATACTATCAAAACATCAGCAGCACTTACTTGTTCTTTTTTTAATGTCTCCTTCCTAGTCTTCACCTTGAACTCTTTTCAATTGACAATTTTCAATTTATAAGTTTACATCCAAGTTAAAATGAAATACTTGAAAAACAACATATCTAAAATCCTAACCTAACAAATAGCATTTCTATAAAGAATGAATAATATTAACTATTTATAATGTTTTCTACAGTGGTTCTCACAAAATTTAGAACTAGGAGTTTCTGTGAGGATTTCTTGGAACCTGGAATACATTTTCCTGTAGAATATAACATCGTACAGGCTGGTTTAGCTCCTAAACCACACTATAACCATCTGAACCATAAGTATAGGACTAATACTAATATAGAACCCAACCATTGCATCTAATATTTCCACAGGAAAATGCCTCCAAAATTCCAAATTTAAAGGCAAGAGTACATTTCCTCATCTCCCTGCTGCAGTCCTTCCAAATTTCAACTCCCCAGAAGCTTTTGAGTCCTTAGTAGTTTGAAGAAAGGAAAGGAAAGGGAAACATTTATCTGTGAAAGGAGGGGATGTAGGAGAATTTTCCAACTGGGCTACAGAATGTAAAGCAAGTATAAGGAAGGCAGAGTCTACCTTTCTTTATATATATTCTATTCATACATGGAATGCAGCCAAAATCATAACTTAGATAGCAATGCCTAATTTGTTTATTAAAATATTAGGTGAAACTCCTCAGTAATAAACATCTGACCCTATTTATTGCTATACATAAGATATATCATTTATAAACACAAAATTATAGTCATCTATTTTTAAAGATTGCACGGATATTTTTTTCTTCAAAGAAGTAGCTCCAAATTTGGAAAAATACTAGGCCTCAATCATTTTCTATGTAAGATGGTAAAAAAAATTATTTTTTAAAATTTCTAACAGGCAAAATGATTAAAAGTGCTAAATCATCCTTACTCCATATAATTCCTTCCCCCTTCTCCTTCTCAACTCCATCCACCAAAAGAGTAGTAGCTCTAAAAATCTATTAAACTCAATCTAATTTAAACTCTGGTCTTATTATTTTAATATCATTAAACTTAAACATTTTGGGAAAATAAAGCAATCTTTTGTACTGCTATATTTAGGTAGAATGCAATAAGCCAATAGTAAAAGTATACAGTTGTATGTTAACACCTAGAAAATAGTGAGTACTACTACAAACGGAACAGTCACCAGACTTACAACTTTTAAATGGCAACAAATTATTTAATTCCCTTTCTAATTTACATTCCCTCAACTTATTTTAGCTTTTGGTTTAGTCCTGCCTTAGAGAAATGGTCTATCAAATAACCTCCAGAGATTGCTTCAAGATCTACATAACTGAGAAGATTAATGCTCCTAGATTCTTAAGTCACAGGGCAAAGGAATGCCTCATTTCTTCTGTCTCTGGTCTCTTCTGAAAGCTTCGACCCTTGTCTTCTAGTTCTATTGCCCCATTTCATCACCCTTTTGTAAAGCACACTACATGATGAAATACACACCACGGCTATGGGGTTTCTGAGAAACAGAAAATACATTTGAATGAAACGGTAAGACTATTATCTTGCAAAAAGGTATTAAAAAAAATTCACAATTTTTTCCCCCCAAGAAGCAAAACAGATATTCACTATCGTAAGGATTCCCAGTCAGCAGCTTGGGCTCTACCAGCACGTGTGGCTCAACGCCCTTGGCTGAACTCCAGGTCAGCTGTCACTGTCAGGTTCTCCTTCTCCCTGCTTATTCCCCAGTTTTTCGCTGGCTGGGATTAATAACACTGCAGGGACTCCACCTGTTCACCACCTTTTTACCAAAGAATTTAGTTTTCAGAGAGTATGCTTTTTTATTAAACTTCATTACTAAGATACTAAAATGATTTCATTATAAGGTAATCTCACCTATAAAATTTTAGAATATATAATATATATAAATATATTTTTTAAATGAAACAAAAAAAACACTGCACCAAAGGCAGAGTTAAAGCAAGGTTCCAGGATACTAAATCTTAATTTCATAACTAGGACACATTTTTTGGATACAAAAGTTTCACTAAAAACATATACCTTTATGCACCAACAGAACTTTCACAATCCTTAATACAATGGCATTTTATATATTGTTTAAAACTATGTCCTGCTAAGAAATCTTCAACATTTCTTAGGTGCATATTTCTACTATTTGTGTTTAAGTTTAAGCACACAAAGATTAAAAGGCATTTAAAAATATAAAAGCTTGTTATACCTTAATAGAAGCCAGTAAACTTGAATTTCTCATACCTGTTGGATAGTAGGCTTGGGAGTACTGTGTTGAAGGTGTGTAGTTACTATATTTTTGGGAGGAGCTGCCCATTGTTTGAGGACCTTGTTGAACATGTACAGATGTGGCGCTGGGCTGCAGCGTATAAGTAACCTCAGTTGGAAACCTCTGCAGTACAGGAAATGGAACCCCTTTATCTGAAAAAGTGGGAGATGTCTCCACTTGTCCAGGGTGCATTCCAAGAGAGTTCTGCCATGTTCTAGGAGGAATCGGGGTCCGATCTAAACCTTTCAGAGGGAAAGTACTGTGGTTGTGGGATGAAGCTGATACGTAGGAGTAAGGAGACAAACTATCTCGCCGGAACGACCGGTGAAATTGTCCTACAGCCACTGGTCCTGCATAAAAGAGGAAGAGCACATTTACTAATTTCACATTACACCACCAGACACAGTAAACCAAAGGTCATGAAATACACTACTCTTCACCTGTTAGCCATTTTTAACACAAGTTTAATTTTGGTAAAAACAATTTCAGAATCCAGAATATGAGATTGCACATATAAGGCTGAAAGAATAATCAAAGTTTTGTTTGGTTCTAAATATAGCTGTAATAAAAGATAAGGTGGCCAAACTTTAACATTAAATCAAATGTTAAATAAAATATTCAATATTAAACACCTTTTATAGGTGATTCAGCCATCTTACCATTTACCTCAATTGACTGATCTAGATTTTTCTGATGTGTAAGCTATTCCCTAGAAGTTTTCCATTTAGTCTTTCAAACCATTTGGGAACCTTAATAATAAGGATGAAAATAAGCACTCCACCATATACATAAAAAAAATAAGTGTGGAGCAAATAAGAATTTTAACACAAACCAAAAAGATATGTAATGTTCTTTGCCACCGTTCAATTTTTTTTTTTTTTTTAACTTTTCTTTTTTTTGGCAACTGGCCAGCATGGAATCTAAACCCATGACCTTGGTGTTACTGGCACCTCGCTGTAACCAACTGAGCCAACCAGCCAGCCCTTTCAATTTTTTTTTTTTTAATGACAATCTTTGTGGAAAGTCAAGCTTGAAGTTTGTCTTAGTTCTCCTCTTCATTCCTTAAATCAAGCATTTTCCATGATCGTTTTTTCTTCAGAGTGTCTTTAGTAGTGTCTCTTCCCAGATATCAGTGGCTGTCAAACATTGGTTTACACCTGAGTCACCTAGAGAGTTGGTTAAAAGTCCACATATCCAGCTGGCTGGTTAGCTCAGTTGGTTAGAGTGTGGTGCTGATAACACCAGGGTCAAGGGTTCATACCTGTACCGGCCAGCTGGTAAAAAAGAAAATTTAAAAATCCACATATCTAGGCCCAAAGATTCTGATATCTGCTTTCTTTTATCTAGCATGGTAGAAAGGAATAAAAAGTGGAGATGAGAAAGAAAAAGGGCAATTGTATGTAATGAGAAAAGAAAAAATATAAATGTTGCAGGCTGAACTCATTTGAGTATGATTCTAGACCATAACTAACCTAATTTATTCCTAAGGAGAGTTTTATGTAATAAATTACATGTTTCACAAATTCCTTTCAATTTATTTCATTATACTAATCTGTAAAAGAGAGGGAAAATTTAATTTATGTGCTACTCAAGTGTTAAACTACATGTTGAAAGATAGAACTCATATATCTACTTTTCCAAATAATTAGATTGTAAACCCATTCAACATGTTATAGATCTTTCATTCTATTTCTACGGTGTTTAATTTCCTTTAAAGAATAAGGCATTAATGCCAAAAATAAACAAATACATATACACATACAAAAAACACAAATTCTGGAGCCCTGGAAATCAAAAGCTCTTTATCTAAAAGGGGGAAAAAATCCTAGCTCAGAAGATTGAATATTTCACTTAATAGACCTCTTAAAAACTACTTTTCCTTTTCCTTTAAAGTACAAAAAAATAGATTTTATGCTACTTGACAAGCAATTCCATACGTTCCACTTGAACCCACCACTGACAATCCTTTGATTTCCTAAGGAAACTTTCTTTGCTCTTCACAACAGGTGATTCTGAGTGTCCAGAACTGCCCACCGTTTGATTTCTCCCTGGATGCTTCACATGCCAGAATTACATATTGTCTACACTGTGCAACGACTCACCAGTCCTTCTGCCCTCTTCAGGGATACGCTGTTGATAAATTTCCACACTGTCGATAACTTAAGCAACTAATTAAAGAAGTCTCTACCTTAATTTCTCAAATTCTGTTTTATATCTGAATTAAAATATAAGTTCTACATCTATCATGATAAACTCCAAGTGATAGCCAATTATCTGTTTTATATGCTGCTAAGAACACTGTCAGGATTAGAACGGCATTCCTTTAAGTTTGTTTTTTAAAGTAAAGAACTAAAACACGTTCAGCTCTTATTCTTCTTTTAAGGGTTACCTCGTAGGGCTCTATTCTGACCAACTTTACAGAACATCACCTACATGTCTTCATAACATCTTTAAGATATATTTGGCAAAGTTTGAATCCAGAATTCTGGAAACGTAAGATAGAATGGACTTCTGTTCTTAAAAGATTCTATTCCTTTTATGGAAGTGAGTCTGAACCAAGCAATTCCCAGGAAGGAATCCCAAAACTTGCCTCTTGAGAGCTTGGTATCCCCTGGCAAAAACAGATTATCTACTTCTCAGATTTGTTACTTAGTTTAGAACATTTAAACAAATACCATAAAATAAACTGCTACTAAAAATAAAATAACAAAAGTGGACAAACAAAAAAGGAAAAACATGTGATCTCCTTTCTTATCAAGTATATTCTTGGAAGGTGAACAGGACAGTTGGCTCAGTGGATCTAAATAAGAGGTCCTAAAACAGAGGATTCTGGGCCGGCCCGGTGGCGCACTGCTATAGTGCGCCGCTTGGGAAGCGCGGCGGCGCTCCTGCCGAGGGTTCGGATCCCACATGCAGACTGGTTCCCGCTCACTGGCTGAGCGAGGCGCGGGGGCAACGCCGAGGGCTGCGATCCCATTGCTGGTCCTGGTCCGGTACGGGGGCGACACTGAGGGTTGCGATCCGTTGCCGGACACGGAAAAAGACAAAAAAAAAAAAACAGAGGATTCTATTGTAAATGAGAGAGAAGTATTCAAACCATAAACTGAAGTAGAACACACAAAGCAAAATGGAAACTACGAAGGAGTAGTATAGTCAGGCATGTATAACCAAGGTAAGATTCAAGCAGAATAAAAATTAGGTGAGAAGGGGCTGGCCCGGTGGCGCACTGCTACTGTGCGCAGCTTGAGAGCGCAGCGGCACTCCCGCCGAGGGTTCGGATCCCACATACAGACCGGCCGCTCACTGGCTGAGCCGGCGCAACACCGAGGGTTGCGATCCCATTGCCGGTCCCAGTCCGGTACGGGCGTGACACTGAGGGTTGCGATCCGTTGCCGGTCACGAAAAATGACAAAAAGGAAAAAAAAAAAAAATTAGGTGAGAAGAGCCAAGGACTTAGAACATGGAATGAAAACACAAAGTTGTGCCAGTATTCTTGAATTTATGAGAATTACATTCCACTTCAACCAGTAACACAATTCCCTACTAAACCAAGCCTGTGGTACACACAATCCACACCTGACATACTTTTTGCACATACCCACAGGTAGAATGGTAAAAAACAGGAAATGCATAAAAACAATAACCTAGGGTATGTATGGATTGACATATTACCTGTACTGAAAAAGTATAAATAAAATTTTTATATTTTTCAATAGTAACCTTTAAAATGCTGACCAACTGAACTGTAAGTGAATAAAATTGGATTCTAGATAGCTCCAGTATTTCTTCAGTTAAAACAGACTCTTTCTGTAGTACACAACTGGGTTTAAGAGAGCCGAGGGAAAAAGATCAGATGTAGTGGATTGAATTATGTCCCCCCAAAACTCCCTGAAGCTTTTGAATTGTGTCCGCCAAGTTTTATGTATTAGAAACTTGGCCCCCACTGTGACTGTTAAGAAGGTGGGAGATCCTATTATGGTAATTGAAAGGTCGAGCCTTGAAGAGGTGATTGGATTGTAGGACCATGCCATAGTGAATGGACTAAAATTGGTGGTCAGAGTCAGGGGCATGGTTCTGAGGACTTTAAAAGAAGAAGAGAGTCTGCCTCTTCCTCTCTCTGCTTCCACCATCTTGCAATGTGAGACACCTGAGTCACTGTCACCACCACCAGATGGACTTTGGACCTCTCAGCCTCAGAAACCGTAAGCAATAAATTTCATTTTCTTTATAAATCACCCAGTTCAGTGTACTTTGCTATAAGCAACAAAAATGGACTAATACAGAAAACTGGTACCAGAGAAGTGGGGTGTTGCTTATAATAAAGAGTTGAAAATGTGGAAGTAGCTTTGGGTATTACGCAAAGGTTGGAGAAGTTTGGAGGACTCAGAAGAAGACAAAAAGACAAAGGAAAGTTTGGAATGTCTTAGAGACTGGTTACGTAGTGGCGAGCAGAATGCTGATGGAAATATGGACTGTAAAGACCATTCTAAGGAGGTCTCAGATAGAAATCAGGACTTTATTGGAAATTGGAGCAAAGATCACCCGTGCTGTGAACTGGCAAGGAACTTGGCTGCATTCTGTCCACACCCTAGAACTTTGTGGAAGTTGGAATTTAGGAGTTGTGAATCAGAGAATTTGACCGAAGAAATTTCTAAGCAGCAAAGCATTGAGGAAGCTGCATGACTACTTGTAACTGCCTATGATGAGTTAGGGTGGCAAAGGCATGACATAAAGCCAGAATTTAAAAGGGAAGCAGAGTGTAAAAATTTAGAAAATATGCAGCCTGGCCATGTGGTAGAGAAGCAGAGAGCAAGCAATGGTGCTGCCCAGTGACCATTAGCTAAGAAGATTAGTACGAAGGGGATTATCAAGAGAAGGGGAAAAGGGCCCTGAAGGCATTGCAGAAGCCTCTGGGGCCAATCCTTCCATTTCAGGCCCAAAGACCTTGGGAGACAAAATGGTCTTGGGGAATAGGCCTGAGGCACCCTCCACAGACTCACTGCTCAGGACCACCTTGGGAAGCTGCTTCCAGCACCAGCACCCCAGCTGCTCTGGCTGCTCCAGCCATGGCTGAATTGGTCTCACGTGTGGCTGGACCTGCAGCTTTGGAAGATACAAGCTGGAAGCCTTGACGGCATCCACGTGTGTTAGGTCTGCAGGCTTGCAGAATGCCAGAGCTGTGGAGGCTTGGGAGCCTCCACCCCAATTTCAAAGGATGTATGAAAAAGTCTGGGGACCCAGGAAGAGATCTGTCACAGGGGCAGAGTCACCACAGACAACCCTCACTAAAGCAATGCCAAGCAGAAATGTGGGGTCAGAGTTGCAGGAGAGAAACCCCATCAGTGCCATGTCTAATGGAGCCATGAGAGTGGGACCACCATGGAGACCCCAGGCCTGTGGAGCTACCAGCCTGCAACACCAGCCTGCGAGAGCTAAAGCATCACCTGAGACCAGAAAAGCCATAGAAGTGGAGCTGCCTGAGGACTTGGGGACCCAACCCCCACATCAGTGTACAGAGGACACTGAACATGGAGTCAAGTTACAAGATTCACCAGCTTTAAGATTCAATGCATGTCCTGCTGGGTTTCAGACTTGTTTGGGACCTGTTACCCTTCTTTTGGCCTATTTCTCCCTTTTGGAATGGGTATATGTACCCCCTGTTTGTCCCGCCATTGTATCTTGGAATTAGATAACTTGTATTGATTTCACAGACTGGGATTTTGAACTTTGGACTTTTGAGTTGAAACAAGTTAAGACTTTGGGGATGAAATGAATGCATTTGCATGTGAAAAGGACATGAGTTTTGGGGGCCAGAGGTGGAATGTAATGGATTGAATTATGTCCCCCCAAAACTCCCTGAAGCTTGAATTGTGTCCCCCAAGTTTTATGTATTAGAAACTTAGCCCCCACTGTGACTGTTAAGAGGGTGGGAGATCCTATTATGGTAATTGAAAGGTGGAGGCTTGAAGAGGTGACTGGATTGTAGGACCATGCCATAGTGAATGGATTGAAGATGGTGGTCAGGGGTGTGGTTCTGAGTGCTTTAAAAGAAGAGGAGAGTCTGCCTTTTGCTCTCTCTGCTCTCTCTGCTTCCACCATCTTGCAGTTGAGACCCCTGAGTCACTGTCATCACCACCAGATGGACTCTGGACTTTTCAGCTTCAGAAAATGTAAACAATAAATTTCATTTTCTTTATATATCACCCAGTGAAGTGTGCTTTTTTACAAGCAACAAAAACGGACTAATACACCACAGAAGAGAAAAATGTGAGCCCAGAGTTGGTTTTTATATTTGTATGCTTCTTTGTGTGAAGTAATTATCCCATTTTTCCCAAGAACACATTTTCCAGTCTATTGTCCTTATGCCCACCGGAGACACAGCCTGAAAAAAATAATATCCACGTCAGAGATTCTGGCAAATGTATTCCATGGTATCATCTCCACTGCCTTTCCCTATATGATTCCCTACCAAAATCAATGGCCATCACATGGGAGTGGCTTAATATTCCTTTAGAATTCCTTTAGAACATTCCTATGTCACTGCTATTTTTCCAACTTATTCCTAGAACTCTAACCTAGTCCCTTATCTTCTAAACTCCACAGACACACAACCTGGCTCTTTATCTTCTAAACTCAAAATGAACGAAGTACTGTCTCATTCATAACCCCGGGCCTAGGTTAAATTGAACATAGCGTTATTTTATTTTTATATTTAATTTTTTTCCATAACAAAAACAACTTAGACTTCTTTATATTAAAATCATGTTAACATGCTAAAACGTTTCTATTCCTCTCCTAGTTGAAGGTGAAAAATGAATTCTCATTACTATATCTTGTTGCTTTCTTGTACACTGCTTTGAATCATGGACTCCTTAAACAGAGAAAGGGAATATTGCCACCCTCGGCTTCCTGGAAGAGGGGAAAGAGGATCAGAAATCAAGTCTATGAAATAATTCACCAGCATGGACGGTTTCTGAACTTTAACTAAATACACATTTACACATACGAAGTTCTGTAAATACTGAAAGATTGTATCCAGTAGTGAAAAATTCAAAGGCTATAAACATGAGCCTTCTAAAACTTTTTTTTAGCTAAAACTTAGACGGCTGAAAGAAAACCATTTTCGCCTTATGTTTGTCCAACCAGAACACCTTAAGTAAGCCTCAAGCTCTAGCTACAACAGTAGAAATGTTTAGCCAATTCATTCTACATAAGAACAATATCTTGTAAATAACAATCCATTATTATATTTTTGCTTTTAAAATATATAAATAATGTCTACCATTCTTCACATTACTTGGGACCTTAAATTTGATTAAGATCATAACACTTCTTCCAAGATTTCTCACATGTGTCAACGGGTGGGAGGTGGCATGTCTCTTCCAGGACAAACTTCCACTCAAAGTACCTTTTCCATTTTCCCTTGGTGGGTGTAATGTTCTAAGTTTTCTGGGCTGTGACTGTTCCTTCCCGCCCTAACCTGCACAGTGACTCTGTTCTGCTTCCCACTGGAGCAAAGGACACCTCTCTGTGTTTCTTTCAGACCCAGTGCTTCAACAAAGGGCTACTTATTCTAATGTCCACAGTGGACAGGCCGCATCTCAGGAAGATGCATGGCTATGGAGGTTTGGAAGCAGGTAAACTCTTGGGGCACAATCCCTTGAGGTTTCGCCTCGTGGGGAGAGAGTGGAAAGCAAGCCTGAAGCCCGTGCAGCTGATGGACACAAAGGAGCAGGTGGCGGCCATGAGGTGGGTGCTGGCTCTAGTGGGAATGACGGAGGTGCCTGGACCTCCGTCTCGGGGAGCACGTTGGGAAGTGGGTCCTGCGCGCATTTCGGACACCTCCGCAGTGAGGCTGGGCCCAAATGCCCTCGGAAGTGGCAGTTGCTCCCCACCGCCGCCCGTGTGTGGGCGAGCGACGAGGCGGCGAGACTCACCGTGCGGCTCGGGCCGGGGCCCCGCGGGCGGCGGCG